GGTCACAGACCCGCGCCAGCCTGAGTGTGGGCACACAGGGCAGTCACACTGTCCGGCTGGCACGTGGGGAGTCTCGGGGCCGCATTTGGGGGCCAACTTCCTCCCAGTGCTCGTTGCAACCACAGGGAATATAAAAGGTTGAAAGGTCGCCTGGAGGGATTAGTGGGCTGGGAGGAGGAGGGAGGTGGCATCAGCGGGCAGAGGTTGAAAGGTCGCCTGGAGGGATTAGTGGGCTGGGAGGAGGAGGGAGGTGGCATCAGCAGGCGGTGACCATCCTTCGCAGACGGGCCGACATCCTCCTGTCCGGGGCCTGCCCGGCAGCCGGCTGAGTGTCCGGAACAGGAACCAGGAGTAGACCCGACTGTCGGCCTCCGTCACGTGCGGAGCTGATGGGCTCCTGGGCTCAGCCAATGCGGTGGCTTATTTACTTGGCTTTGGCCACAGGATTGGGGCCGGCGGAGGGGGGGTGGCAGGTACACAGGGCTGTCTGTCGGGCCCTGCGGCAGCCCCTGCTCACACGCGTGATTTCGGGTGCGGCTGGGAGTCTGCGGTTTATCTCCTGGGCCCGTGGGGGTCTCCGCTTCCATCGTGGGCAGGAGGACGGTCTGACCCAGGGGTGCCGGGCAGGGAGGTTCTCGGTGGGGCTTCTTCACGGGGAAGGAGGCGGTAGACAGGTGGGGTGGCGTGGTCATCACCAGGTTACCCTGCAGCATGGGATTGTGGGAGCCTTTGGTTTCTGTGCCAGAGAGGGGGTGCGAAAGGCCGACTGTGGATAGTCTGTGTCAGTACAAGCAGCGGTTAATGCTGCTTCCAAATCAGGTCTTTTGTGACGGCCAAGGTTATCGAAGGCACCTGGAGGTTACATTCCCACCCGCGGCCCAGCGCTGGGGTGGCCCCCAGTCAGCACGTCCGTTAACCTGACACAGCTGAGGTCGAGGACGACGTGAAACCGCTGAGCCAGTAGCTCCCCCCCTTTAGGGTAGAGCGGTGGCGTGTGACCCCGTAGTGATGCGGGCGTGCCCGGCGGGAGGGAGTCCCGGCGCGTCTGGGCTGGGGAGACCTCATGGAGGGTTTCCGAGGAGGTGCCCCTGAGCCGGGACTCGGGATGGGTTACTCAGATCAGGAGGGAGAGGGCTTCCGTAGGGCATGGGCGGGCAGCAGGGACCAGGGCGGGGCTGGGTGGGGGGACAGGCGGAGGGGCAGGCAGAGACAGGTGGCCTCATGCCTCTGGGCCTGGCCCGCCCGTCGGAGGGAGCCCTGGGAGTCCTGAGCGGGCACTGCGGTCTCCCTGGCAGTTCCTGGAGGACGTGGGCAGCCAATGGGCGGGGGGTGGGGGTCAGACAGAAAGCAGGCAGAGCCGTCCGAGGCCGGAAAAAGATGGATCAAAAGGCCTCTGGGTGGCCAGTCCCGACGTGGGCGGCTTTCCCTGGGCGCCAGCGCGGCCGGTCTCGCTCTGCTCGCAGTTCAGGGAACGGCCTGAGCCCTGCGGTTTATCCGCCAGTGGCAGATTCTTAAGGGCTGTCGGGAGAAGCCAGAACACCGCCAAGAAGTAAGTGATAGAAAAGGAGGAGCCAGATTATAAAAAGCTGCAGAAAAATGGAAGGTCGGCTAGTAAGCCTCGTGGTTAAGACGGGCCTGGGTTGCTAGGAAACCATGGACACAGATGAACCTCCCAAAGCGCCGGTTTGCTTATCTTTAAACGGGAGCACTGTGATACCGCCTGTGAGCTGTCTGTGGGTGACAGGGCTCTGTGAACTGCTGAGCCCGGTGCGTGGCGGTAGTAAGTGCCCGGGAGCCGGGAGCGGTCAGCGGTTGGGGCCACTTGGGGGCGTGCTTCCCGTGGAGGCCGGATTGTGTGGGTGCTCACGGTGATTCCTTAAAGGGGTTCCCTAGTAAGCGGGTGCGGAGAGCAGAGCGGTGGTGAGGTCGGAGGGTGTCCCTTTGTCTTGCTTTGTTTGTCCGCCTGCCAGGGAAGCTCCCTGAGGGGCACGCGTGGCAAGTGCTTATTTAGGGGATAAGCCGCCATCTGCTTCCATAGCCCACGGCACGGGCTTATCACAGATGGTGCCTAGTTACTTGTTATTCATGCGCAAGGTCAGTTCTGCCTCATCAGAGGCGCCCTGCCTTCTCCGGATAAAAAGGCAGGGAAGCCCTGGCCGGTTTGGCTCAGTGGATAGAGCAGTGGCTGGCAAACCGCGGCTCGCGAGCCACATGCGGCTCTTTGGCCCCTTGAGTGTGGCTCTTCCACAAAATACGACGTGCGGGCGCGCACGTACAGTGCGAAGTTGACTTAAACCTTTAAGTAAAGTTTATGAAGTTAATTTTAGGGAACGCTGTGGAGTGAAAGAAGATGTAGTGTCGAGGATGGAGAAAGGTATGTGGAGATGGTTTGGACATACAGAGAGGATGAACGAAAGGAGATAGAACGAAACAAGTATACAAGACGAGTGTGGATGGGAGAGTTGGAAGGGTCGACCTCAGCGAACGTACCTCAATCAGATTGAGGACGTCTTTAGCAAAGGCCAGCTTAGGAGTACCCTAATTAAGTTAATAACAAGGTACCTACCTATATAGTTTAAAATATTTGGCTCTCAAAAGAAATTTCAATAGTTGTACTGTTGATGTTTGGCTCTGTTGACTAATGAGTTTGCCAACCACTGGGATAGAGCATCGGCTTGCGGACTGAAGGGTCCCAGGTTCGATTCCGGTCAAGGGCACATTCCCCAGTTGCAGGCTCAATCCCCAGTTGTGGGCGTGCAGGAGGCAGTCAGTCAATATTTCTTTCATCATTGATGTTTCTCTCTCTCTCCCCCTCTCCCTTCCTCTCTGAAATCAATAACAATATACATACACACACATACATATATATTTCCTATATAATAAAAGCATAGTATGCAAATTGTCCTCAACCAGGGGGCGGGTCCGGCAGCCGCTGGGGACCCTACCAGTGCACAGGGAAGTATATAGTATTTTAAATTTCTGATCCCAACAGACCAAATCTTTAAAAATAACATTTTTTATGTGTTATTATAGAACAGAAATTGAAATACAGAAAACTGGAGAGGAAAATAGACAATTACATGTTATAGCACCACTCAGAGATGACTGTTAACAGACATTTTTTTTAAAAAATATATTTTGATATTTTACAGAGAGGAAGGGAGAGAGATAGAGAGTTAGAAACATGGATGAGAGAGAAACATCGATCAGCTGCCTCCCGCGAATCTCCCACTGGGGATGTGCCCGCAACCCAGGTACATGCCCTTGACCGGAATCGAACCTGGGACCCTTCAGTCCGCAGGCCGACGCTCTATCCACTGAGCCAAACCGGTTTCGGCTGTTAACAGACATTTTATACGTTTTTTTTCTTTCTCCGCCAGGATCATTATGTATATACCTTTTTCTGTTTGTTTTGTGTTATACGCTGGGCATTTTCTTACCAGAATATAAGAAAATGGCTAGTGGTTGAGCATCGACCTATGAATCAGGAAGTCATGGTTCGGTTCCCAGTCTGGGCACATGCCCGGGTTGTGGGCTCAATCCCCAGTAGGGGGTGTGCAGGAGGTAGCTGATCAGTTATTCTCTCTCATCATTGATTGATCTATCTCCCCCTCTCCCTTCTTCTCTGAAATCAATTATAAAAAAAATGTATCTGGGCAGTTTTTTGTCAGAATGTTCTTCCATGACATTTAAAAAATATATATATTTCTTTATTGATTTCAGAGAGGAAGGGAAAGGGAGAGAGATAGAAACATCAATGATGAGAGAGAATCATTGATTGGCTGCCTCCTGCATGCCCCCCACTGGGGATCGAGCCTGCAACCCTGGCACGTGCCCTTGGCTGGAACTGAACCCGGGACCCTTCAGTCCTCAGGCCAACACTCTATCCACTGAGCCAAACCGGCCAGGGCTTCCATGACGTTTTTAATGGTCACATGATACATCACTGTGTGGCTATGTCTTAATTTATGTGACCATTCCCTTACTATTAGATATTTAGCTGCTCTTTTTTTTTTTTTTTTGCTATCATGTTATATTACAATTAACATCGGTGAACATGAATCTATTAAAATATTTTTTGAAAATAAGTCTTAAGTAGCCACTTTTAGTTAGAACATCTGCTTCCCTATATCAGATATAATTGCAAAGTGTTTTGTTTTGTTTTTGGTTATGAAATTTAAGTAGAATAGCTGGTTCTCCTTTGATTCATCCCTTTCTTCTTTAGCCACAGACTTAAAAAATAAAATTCCCTTCTTAGAATAGCATTTTCTCAGATTGACTAGAAGATGAGTAATTTCAAGCACGTGAGAGTAAGTTATCTGTTAAACGAAACTCGAAACTCAAGTCGGGTGGCGGGAAGTGCGTGCGGGTCAAACTGCGCTTTGAATGTCAGAGCACAGTTCGTTGGGGTAGGGGGGGGTGGGGGGGGGGCAGAGCCTTAGCGAGAAACCCAGGACCCACCGGGCGGGCGGCGTCTGCTGGCTGCACCTGTGTCGAGGCCCCGGCGCACCCTGAGCTCTGCGCGCACACGGCTGCTTTGGCTGCTGGTCCCGGCCAGAAACTGCTACTGAGAAAAACCAGGTTTCGAAATTGCCTTCCGTTAAGTGGCTTTCTTTGGGGGCGGGGAGGAGGGGGCGGATTTTTTATTACGGAGAAGTCATTAATTGACCTCCTTGCACTAAAGCAGGCCAGCGATTGGCCCTGTCTGTTCCCTTGATTGCGTGTCCCCCCCCACCCCCAATGACCATGACCGTGACCGGGTGGCAGGCATTTCTGCTCCCACCAGGCAGCTGCATCTCTACCCAGAGTCGAGCGTGTTTGCTCTCAGACCGGTTGTTCTGGTTTGGCAGTTACAGCCGTGCCACGATTCCATTCAATCCTGTGGCAGCTGCTGAGCCACTGGCGTGAAGAGAGGGAAAAGTGGGCGCAGAGCAGCACCCACTGCCTGCTGCTCGAGGAGAAAGCAGCTGGAGAGCCAGGGGCAGGCCAGCTTGGGGGGAATCGGGGAATCCCAGATGGCGCTCGCCCTGCCGTCCCCCGTACCTGGCAGCTCTCCGCCGGCAAGGCCGCCGTCCGGGCGGAAGCACTTCCATCACTCGAGCTGGTGGGTGCTTTCTCTCTCGGAAGAGACCTTTTCTCCAACCAGGGGTGGGGAGCCCTCTTCTGGCCACGGGCCACGTGGACGTTTCTAACATCACTCGCGGGCCATACAGAACGATCAGCTCAAAAAGTAGCCTGTCTGTGGCCAAACATTTAATGAACTCCCCGAATGCCTCGGCTGGGCCAGGCCAAATGATTTCTCGGGCCTCCTACAGCCCGCGGGCCGGACGGTCCCCACCCCCGCCTCCCAAGGAGAAAAGGGGCAGGTGTCTTTATAATTGTGTTTATTCAGTGATTTCCTGTTTCAGGCAAACTGCTCGGTGAGCCGGCAGCTAACTGGTTCCAATGGTCGATGGTCGTGGGTGAGGGCTCTCGGGGGCTTCCCTGGCCCCCCTGCTGACACCGGGCTCTGTGGCCAGGTGGGCCCGGCGTGCGGAGCCCTGGCCTGGAGGAGCCTGGGATGAGGCGGTTCCCTGTGATCAGTTGCGTGTCCCATTCCTGCCCTGCCCCTCGCCCTGCCCCTCCTCCTCCTCCACCTTCTTCTCCGCCCAGAGCCCCAGGCCTTAGAAGGTCAGTGCTGGTCTCCAGTGACAGTCACAGCTGGGACAGTTCTCGGAACCGCACACCTGTAACAGCCACATCATCCGGGAAGGGGCAGGGCTTGGGCTGTTTTCTCTGAATATTAGCTAATGAGGCTTCCAGGGAAACGCCCGGAATACGGTTCCGCCAGGACTAGGAGGCCGTCCGTCCAGTTGTGTGAGCCCGAGACCACCCGCCTCTTTCCGGGGCGGCCCATTGGTTTTCAAGCCCAGCCTTTGCCTTTGTGTGGTCACTCGCCCTCAGAGTGAGGGACGCACTGATTTCAGATTCGAGCCAGCCCCACGCGGAGGGGTGGTCCAGGCGACACCCCACGGCCTGCTGCTCTCTGAGGGCAGCCGGTTCTGTCTCAACCAGCAGGACTTCGGGTCTTCAGTCAAAAACAGTCCCCATCGGCCTCTCGGTTCTGTCTGTCGCGTGGGTCGCTCTGGTGGGAGATTGGATGAGCCGCTGGCACAGTCCTTCCCCGCGCAGGCTGCAGTCCGGGATGGTTTCACACCGCCCACGAGGTTGCTGTCTTTTAGGGCCGTTTCATCGTGCTTGCGGCGCTCTCGCTGTATTTTTGTATTTTTCCAGATCTTTCACCTTGGTAACATGTTGCACAGTCCGACTCTGCAGCCACTGAGGGTTTGTTCTTTTTTTTTTTTTTTTTTCATGAAAACTCAAGGAACGCTTGGGAAGCACCGCGGGCGTGTGGGTAGCACGCAGCTCTGGGCATTGCAGGCTTGAGGCACAGGCTCCACCTGGAAGCCGCGGGGAGATGAGCTCCCCCGACAGGTGTTTTCACGGAATGGGGGAGGAATTTGGGCTTTCTAATACCCTGACCTTTAGCATCCAAGGCCACACTCACAGTGCAGGTGCTGCTGCTGGAACTGACCCTGAAGTAACTGGCGAGCTCGAGCAGGTGCAGCACAATGAAGGAGACGAGGTTAAGCTGGCGCACGCCTGCCAGCCTTTCATCACCTAATCCGCGAGCCGGCGGAGTTTAAAGCCCGTGCAACCCAACCTGTGCTGCCGTGGAAAACCGCAGGAGCCCAGGCTCGTCTCCGCCTTCGTCTCTGGGTTATAGAGAACTGTCTGTTTATGTTATCTGGAGAGGAAAATAGCAAAATCCAAAAGGAACCGGTATGTCTCCGAGGGAGGGCCAGTCTGGGTCGGGGCCACACAGAGGGCAGAGAACTGTCAGCCCCAGGGTCAGCTGCTGGCCAAGTTGGAGTGCCCCACCCCCGCCTGCTTGGCTATGGACTTTGAGCATCAGAAAAATGAGGGACTACCCTCCAGAAAGCTTATTGGTCATTTTTCAAGGTTGCTTGAGCATTGAATCAATCTACTAAACATGGGTTATAACGGGGAGGGGAGGGCAGAATCAAGCAGTTATCCTGCTCTTTAGCCCTGGCCAGTTTGGCTCAGTGGAAAGAGCATTGGCCTGTGGACTCAAGGGTCCTGGGTGCAATTCCAGTCAAGGGCATGTACCTCAGCTGCGGGCTCGATCCCCAGCCCTGGTCAGGGCATGTGCAAAGGCAACCAATTGATGTGTCTCTCTCATATTGATGTTTCTCTCTCTGTCTCTCCCCTTCCCTTCCACTCTCTCTAAAAATCAGTGGAAGAATATCTTCAGGTGAGGATTAACAACAAAACATTTATCCTGGTTTTCCTATAGAAACCATTCCAGATACTCAAACAGAGGAGGCAAAAAGCTCTCTACAGAAGAATTCCAGTCCACACGCACAGAAGATGAAATTAAATAATTACTGTTAACTTTAGGAAGTGTGATTGAGGCCTGTAGTGAGAATTATAGTCCTTGCCCATCAGGGATACATATTAAAGACTTTAAGGCTGCAGTGATCAGGTGGCTGAGATTTGCTTTAAGCCCCGAAGCGAGCTTGGGAATGGTGCTGCCTGTCCACCTGGGGAAGGTCCACGGACTCCTAACACGTCTCCCTCCGCTCTGCTCTTTGCTTGACAATATCCGCAATGAAAAGCTAAATCAGAGATAAATAGCAGTGAAACGCAGGCCATTCCTGGGACTTGAACACAGGGAAGTGATAGTAGACTGGACCGTCAGTGGCAGAGAGCAGCTTTCCCAGCGTAATTTACGTCGAGAGAGACGTCCTCACGCGTGGCGTCGGAGCCCTGGGCTTCCTCACGACACCCCTGTTCCTCATGAAAGCTCAGGTTGCACCTCCTCCTTCCTGAGAGAAAGGGGGACAGGTCTGTCCCGCCCTCCGCCTCCGAGAGGGGATGGAGGTGATGCGTGGAGAGGGGGTGCAGGGCCGGGCCTGCAGGGAGTGCTCAGCGAGCGCTGGCCGATCCTGCTGAGGTGGAGGTTGTCCCATCACCGGTGACGCGTTCACTCACATCTTTAAATTCGCATCTGTTCTGATTTTGTTTTCTCTTTCGGGCCTTTCATGGGAAGAGCAGATGCAGTCTGTGTTGGGGGCGGGCGGGGGCTGCAGTGCAGGGTGAGTGCCACGCAGCCCACGGGCCTGTCTCCGTGGACGGTCGTGAGGGCCTGCTGGGTTCTGGCTGCCGCCTCCCCAGAGCCGGGCACGGAGAGGTGCTCCATACGTGTTTCCTGGAGTTCGTGAGTTTTTAACGGGTGTGAGAGTTTCGGGGGCAGCGAGGCTGCCGTCGTCACAGCCTGGCTCTCCCGTGGTCCTGGCATGCTCCAAAGGCAGGGGGCCGAGTCCTGCCACCGAGGATGGTGTGACCGTGTGAGGCCGGCTCGCGTCCAGTTGTCTCCTTTCTCTGCCTTGGCGGGCGTTTGCTTTAGGGCAGTCACCGCATCATCCTAATGCTTCCCTTTCCGGTTCACTGCCAAACCAGGCTCTGCCGTGTGAGCGAGGAAAGCCATTTCCCAGCCCCCAGCGGGGGGTGTATAGTGATGGTGTATCTGTGGTGCTGCTGTGGAACAGTGTATGGTAAACATTTAGGAAGCTAATCTCCGGAGCAGTTTAACAAGTTAACAGGTAACGACAGTGGCCTGAGGCCTGAGGTCCTGATCCCTGCAGATTAGGCTGAGGAGTGTTTAGTGATAGGCCTGTTGGCCAGTTCTGGGCCTTGGAGTGAGCGACTCGATTCCCTTAAGGGGGCGTGTGAGCCCCCATGTCATTTTATTTCACCGGGAAAGCCCTTCTAGTTACGTCAGCCAAGACGGCCCCCAGCTCAGCGACTTGAGAGGCGAGTCCTAAAGGCTGCTTCACCAGGAGACCTGGGCGTAGACCCCAGGGCCGGGGCAGGCCTGGCCTCGGGTGTGTGTTGCCTCCAGACTCCAGGGGTAGAGAGAACAGAGAGGGAGAGAGGGCTGCTTTGAATGGGGAGATGGGTCTGGCCGCCTACAGTCACCCCATAGGGAGGGGACCCAGAGAACCCCATCCTCAGTCCCCATCGCCAAGTCCAGCAAGAACTAGAAGGCAAGGGGCCTGTTGAACTGGTCCCCGTGCCCAGCTCAGCCAGTTGGCCCCTGGGGCACAGAGCAGGATGGAGACAGACATGCCAACACCGTGTCAGTGCCCTGGGGCTGCCACAACAAGGGACTACAAATTTGGTGGCTTAAAACGGGTAGGGCATGTCCGGCCTGCGGGCCATATAAGGCCCCTGAAATCACTTGGCCCTGCGAAGGCATTAGGGGTGAGTTAATTAAATGCTTAACCAAATACAGCAGGCTACTTTTTAAGCTGGTAATGTGTATGGCCCTCGAGTGATGTTATAAATATCCAGGAAAAGGGTTCCCCATCCCTGGCTTAAAACAAGAAAGCGATTCTCCCAGTTCCAGAGGCCTGAGGTCTGCAACTGGTGCCCACACTCCCCCTGGAGGCTCCCGGGGAGTGCTCCTGCCCTCCTGGCCTCTGCTGGCCGCGGCTCCCCGGCTTGTGGCCTCGTTGCTGCAGTCTCTGCCTCATCTGCACGTGGCCCCTCTGCGTCTGCCTCGTCTGTGTGTCTCTTACGAGGATACACGTGGCTGATTCAGGGCCACTCCGATCACCCAGGGAGATCTGGTCTCCGGACCCTTAACTTAGTCACATCTGCAAAGACCATTTTCCCAAACAAGGCCATACTCCCACGATCCAGGGATGAGCATGTGGACACATCTTTGGGGGGTGGGGGGCCATTCAGCCACTCCAAGCACCCTCACTCCCAGGAATACAAACTCCATTGTGACACAGCAGCCCCCCCCAGGCGCACCTGTGATGCCTCAGGCCTCCCCCCTCCAACCCCACCCCATTTTTGATGATGAACAGTTACCTGAACAAGCACAATGGACTGCGGTACAAATGCACTCACACCAAAGGTGTGTGCTGACCACCCTGCAGTAGACACTTCCTGTGGGTGGAGCATGTGGGTTCCACCTCCACAGAGCTGTGCCTTGGAGGCCACGTGGGTGAGAATGTGCGGCCCGTGGGGCTGTGGGGTGGTGGTGGGTGAGCACCGCAGCCACGTCTCCAGGACTAAGCAGGGTGTTGAGCATTTACTCCCAGCACCACCAAGCGTTTCCGTGTGTTTGTTGAAATTCGCTAACATAACTCAGTAGCAGCATTGACTTTGCTGTAAGGACTGTATTACAAGGGGACGCAGAGGACTGCCCGAGCATGTTGTCATAGGAAGGGTGAGCTTGGAAATGGGCAGGTTTAGGAAGGCACAACTCTCAGAGCTGAGGCAGCCGACCGGCCAGCGCCAATCAGAATCCCACGTCCCAGAGCCTTCTGCAGACCCAAGCCTCTGAGCCGGTGACGGCCGGCGGGCGGAGGCGTCCCTCTCCCGTCCCCACGCGTCTCATTTGTAACCGTTGCATGTGTCATTCAGGGGGAGTTCACATTTGTTTGCTTTTTGACCTTTATTTCCTGCCATATTCCTTCAACCAAGTAAGTAAGTAGTGACTAGTGCGTTTGAGGTGGGAAGTGCGTTCTGCGGGAACGCCGTCATTGCTGGGAGCATCCCAGGGGGAAAGGGCTGGACATTCCGCCTGGACAAGTACAATCAAACACCTGTTTTCTAAAACAGAGACAGCTGATTTCCCTGCTGCCTCTGCCCTCTGGCTCTGCCAACACCCAACAGATTTATTTTTATTTTTAAAATATATTTTTATTGATTTCATAGAGGAAGGGAGATGGAGAAAGAGACATTAATGATGAGAGAATCATCCATCAGCTGCCTCTTGTACGCCCTCCATTGGGGATCAAGCCTGCAACCTGGGCATCGAACCATGACCTCCTGGTTCCTAGGTCGCGGCTCAACCACTGAGCCACGCTGGCTGGGCCAGGTTTGTTTACTGTTAATTAAAAAATAAAATTTTCAGTAAATTTGTACGTTTATTATATACAAACAGAAAAGAGAAAGTAACAAGGTCACACAGTCCAGAGGTCGCCGTTGACTTTGGGGGGACACTCATTCAGCCAGCGCTGCTCAGGGGAGACAGATGGGCAGATAGCTCCCGGCCGTCGGGTCCTGCTGTAAGTGCTGCTTCGGCAGCTCATTTTCCTCCCATCGTGAGCAGAAAGGGGAACTGCAGTGAAACCGAGCACAGCGATAAAAATGCTTCCTACCACAGCGAGATTATTTCCTGAAAAGATTGCTCTCTGGTTAAGAAAAAGGATCATGAGAACCATCAAGGGTTGGCGACAGTTTTCAATTTCAGGCGTCTGCTGGCTCGGCACCACGGCTCCTGAAGCGCGGTGGCCCCTCCACGGGGTCTCAGGTTCCTGTACAGAGCGAGCGGCCACAGCAGCGCGGCTGGGATCGGGAGTCGGGCTGTCACCCGGCCCGGCCCCGGGACCTGCCGAGTGCCGTGGGCGCTGCCCGACCAGCACCGCCGCTGTTTCCTCCCGTTTCCCCGGGAGCAACGGGAAGGAACACTGAGGGGGAAGGTGTCTTTCTGCGTCGCGTTGAGCGGCCCGAGCTCTGCTGTGGGGCCCGGGTGTGGGAAGAGCTTCGTCAGCTGCTTAGAAAGAAGCTCCCGCCACCGCAACCGTAACCGTGTCCACCTGGAGAGGCTGTGGGTGTGGGCTGGCGGCCACTTAGAAGTCACTGGTTTGTTTAAATGTAAAAACATGAACGCCCGAAGGATCTAAAAAATCACAGCTCGCTCGGTGGGCCTCCTCTGCTGGCCGGTGGCTTTGCCCTCTTCTTTGTGCAGACGAACTGCCTTTTGCTGCTAGCCTGTTGCTTCCTGTGTTCCCCTCCCCTGGGACTTCCAGGCGCGTAGAAGTGACTTTGACCTGACTCTGACCCTGCGAGAAGAAGGTGGCCGAGCTGACGCGTGCTGGGCGCTGGCCTGCCGGAGGTGACGAGAGGTTGCCGTGGCGTTCGTGTTCCAGCCGGGCAGACGGGGCGCCAGAACACACTCAGTGCCCATTGCGAGTAGCGGCACCGTGACCGAGCGTGGCTGCCGGCGTGCAGTTTCCGGGCCGCATGGCATTTGCATGTTTAGTGTTGAAAGGAATTGCCGCGCTGTTTCTCAGAGCGGCTGTTTGGTGGTGTATTTGTTTTTCTTTGTTTATTCTTTGAAATGCTCAGCAGTCGGAGGGAAGACCTCAGGACATCGCCCGTGTGGCCTGCGCTCTGTGGGTTGGGGCAGAGGGAGCCGCTGGGCCCTGCTGGGCCCGTGGTGCCTGAGTCCGTTCCGAGGCCCCCAGGCCTGGCTCGCAGCAGCAAGAAAGGGGAGGTTCCTGCTGTAGGTTCCTAGTGCTGAGCCGGAGGCGTCTCTCCCTTTGATCTGTTAAGCTGCGCCCACTCTTCAGGGCCCGGGGCCCTTCATCTGTGTGTGTCCTGCTGCAGGCGTGGGGCGATGGGCCTCGTCTTTGTTCTCTTACTCCACCAAGTTGTGCGTGTGCTCTTCTGCATGTGTGCGTGCACACACGTCAGTGAGTGCGCCTCCGGTGGGCATGGCTCGAGGGGGGCAGTGGCTCGAGGGGGGCAGTGGCGGCAGCACAGCCAGGGCCCTACCCTGTGACTGTGGAGAGGAAGGAAGTAGTGAAAATAGATGGGGGTGGGGGCGGAAGGGGGTGGTGTGCAGGGAGCAGAGAGGACTGGCACAGGCTTGAGGGAGAGAACGGGCAAATAGTGTGGACCGCGTGCTGCTGAACCTCAGGTCCAGAAAGCGGGTTGCGGTGGGTGGAAGGAAACTAGAGCAGGAGGGACCACCCTCCATCCCCCCCTCACCTCCCAAGAGGAAGGAGAGGGCAGAAGGAAACCCCTGTGGGGCAAACAGTCCCCTCCCAGCTCAGGGTCCGCTCAACTGATGGTGACCAGCAGCGGGGGAGCTGCGGTGGGCGGGGTGGGAGCGAGGGGAGCAGGCTCAGGGGCACCAACCGCCTCCCCAGGGCCCCAGGCCTGAAGGTCATGGGTCATGATGTCGCCCGCTGGCCCCTCCGATAGTGATTCTTTAACCTCCCCTGGAGCAGCAGACACTTGGTCTGAAAAAACCTGTCTCCTCCCGGGAGGAGTAAGGCGTTCCAGGCAGCACAGCCACTGCGGAGCGGGTGGGGGACAGAGCCCGCCCGCACGCTCGCGGGGAGGGAGGTGGCTTGCTCTTTAAGAACGGGAAGCAGCATCCACACTAGATGCCGAGGGGCCGGCCGGGAACTAACACGCTTGGGTTCTCACCGTCCTGCGTGTTCCCTGCAGACACAGAACGTCCAGCTTAACAAAGAAATGACGCTCGCCAGCAACCGGAGCCTGGCCGAGGGGAACCTCCTGTACCAGCCCCAGCTGGACGCGCGGAAGGCGTGCTTGACCCAGAAATACCAGGAGCTGCAGGTGCTGTTCGAAGCCTACCAGATCAAGAAGACCCAGCTAGGTAACTCGGGGCCATCGGATCGGTCAGGAGTGGAGTTGGGAGCCCTTTCCCAGCTGCTGCGGCCGGGAGAGCAGTGTTCTTCTGGGGAGACCTTGGAGGAAGAGGCGACCTGGGGAGTGTCTGAACCGTGAGGCTCCGCTGCGTCACCTGTGCGGTTAGGCCCTCAGAGTTAGTGTTGGAATGATCGTCACCGGGACGTTGCATTTTAATGTCTCACTTTAATTTCCAGCCATGACGAGAGGAGGTGGGAACAGAATAGAGTCCTGGGAGCTTTGGGTAGGTTTCAGGGAGACTTCTCGGTTAGGAGGTTAAAAACCACCCCCGTGGAGGTCACAGGGGCATCGGATAGCCTGGTCCCCCCACTGTCTCCATAACTTCGGTAAAAATGGACCAGAACACACCTAGCCGGACAGTGACAGGGAAGCGGCCGCGTGCCCCGTGCGTGAGGATGCAGACTGCGCGGCCCCTGGGCGTGACAGACACGCACACCCCACCCCGGGCGTGCCGACCCCCAAGTGGGTGTTGATGTGGCTTGGAGGCTGTGGCTTTACTGTTAGCTGGACTTGGGGACCATCTGCATGTCCACTGTACGGTGACGGGCTCCACAGGGTGGCAGGCAGGAAGTGCGATGTCGCACGGGGAGTGTGGAGCGAGTCGCGTGCTCAGTATCAGTCCCAGTCCTCCGAGGGGCAGAGGGACCTGGGCTCTGGGGCGAGGTGCACCTGTCCTCGGATTTAGTCTCACTTCCTGGAGAGTCCTCAGCAGTGTGACTGCTGTCGCCTTTCTGGCTACAATGCTCGTGCTTTGAAGGGGGAGTGGGAGGGGTGTGGGGAGCGTGGTTGTGAGGCTGGGGCCCTGTGATTTCCGAGGGTCAGCCCCCTGCTCACCCTGCCTCTGGCTTCTTCCAGACAGACAGCCCAGCAGTGCTTCCTTGGAGACCCTGTTAGCACTTCTTCAGGCCGAAGGAGCCAAGATTGAGGAAGACACGGAGGTAAACAGCCAGTGTCCCTGGCCCAGTTCCCTCGGGGACGAGCACCACACCCGAGGCCAGGAGGTGGCGCCTCCCAGGCTGCTCCTGAACCGAGTGGCCTGGGCTGGGGGTGCAGCAGGGAGTGGGGTCAAGTGAGGGGTGCCTGTTGTGCTGACTTAGCGAGGGTCTCATGGGCGCTGGGGTGCCATCTGCTCTGAGTCAGTAGGTGAGAAGTGCCCACGGGACGCAGCCGAGCACTGGAGGCTGGAGCCTCACTAAGCGAGGAGATGAGTCTGGGGACAGTTGTAGCTGCGAGGCTGGCGTAGGGGTCCAGGTGGGACCCCGGTGGGCACAAGCTAGCTTCGGTCCTGCTGAGCCCACGTGTGTCAGGATGCAGCCAGTGGAGGGAGCGGACGGCTCGGGCTGGCCTAGGAGAGGGTTGGAACTGGGCACGGTGCTGTCCTCTCGGCCGAGGGGCCCCCTGCATCCTGAGGCCGGCTCTCCCCAGCCTGCTGCCGTCCAGCTTGTGGTTGGGAGGTGGGCCCGCGGGGTCAGCCAGGCCTGCCGTGCGGAGCTGTGGTAGATGGGGCTGTGGTGACCGGAGGGTCCTAGTTGGGAGGAAGCTGGGGTGCCTCTCCGAGCCCACTGGGTGGTGGAGGGAGAGTCCTCCCCCCAGGGCTGGGCTGTCCCTGTGACCGTGTCCCCTGCTGCTTTCAGGACATGGCAGAGAAGTTTCTTGAGGGAGAGCTGCCTCTGGACTCTTTCATCGACGTCTACCAGAGCCAGCGGAAACTGGCCCACGTGCGGAGAGTGAAGATCGAGAAGCTGCAGGAGATGGTGCTAAAGGGGCAGAGACTCCCGCAGGCTCCGGCCCCACTGTCGTCCAGGGTGCCCGAGCCAGTGCCCGCCGCCCCGGAGGCCAGCGGGCCCCCCTCCGTCATGCCTCGGCGCATCCCGCCCCCTGTGCCTGCAGGACGCTTAGCCACGCCGTTTACTGCTGCCATGGGCTCAGCACAGGCCCCGCTGTACCCTCCCCTGCCCCCCCGCATGGGCCTCCCCGCGCAGTTTGTGTCGCCATACCCACCACCTCTCCCCCAGAGACCCCCGCCCCGGCTGCCTCACCAGCCAGGCTTCATCCTGCAGTGAGGGTCCCCGTCCATCCGTCCTGGGAGACTCGCGCCAGCCTGCTGGCCGGGCCCACACTTGGGAGGGAGCGAGGCCCAGGGCCCAGTGGCGTCTGCTGTGAGCACTAGGTGGGGTGAGTAGTGTGGGGCCCTGGTTCGTGCTGGTGCCAGTTTGCAGTCTCCATTCTCGTGCGGTTTGTGTTGTGAGCTCACGAACCTGGGGAAGCTGCCCTCCCTCCCCTTTAGAATCATGGTCCTCCCGTCGCAGCTTTTGCGGTCAGCATGGTTCCTGGTTTCTGCTTTATTTTCACGACAGTTTGTCCCAGCCTGTCCCAGCCCAGTGAGGGTCGGCCGAGGGGCCAGCCCTAGAAGGTGCTCACTGAGTCTGTGGGGTGACAGCTCCCCACTCCTCCAAAACCTCAGTCCTTCAAAGCCATCTCGCAGGTTTGCACTTGGCTCACTGCTCAGTGAGGTGGGCGGAGCTGGACTTTGCACATCGCTGTCCTCCCAGCTCCCCCCACCCCCCCCTCAGCCGGTCCCAGGGTTTCTATGAAGAAATACTCCAATATTTTTACTACGTGTGTAAATTTCCTGTTTTATATTGGGGAAGAAAACTTTTTGACACAAAACCATTCAGGGAAACTTTATAAAAAATGCACATTGTTTTGAGCAGATGGAAGTGTAGGTGACATGAATCCTGTTACAGGCGGCGGGTGCACAGCTTCACCGGTGCCATGGGGGCTGCCCCAGGCCATGGGGTGGCTGCAGCCCCCAGCTGCCTTCAGGAAGGGCACTTCACACTGTGTTGTAAGAAGTTCGTGCCCTGAACCAGGGTCCTCTTAGCCAATATTCTCAGCCTCTGGCTGGGCCCTGGGAAGAGAGGGTGCCAAGCTAGGACACTCTTCCTGCCCCTCCAGGTTCTCGGCTATAGGTGCCACACGTGCTGAATTCCGAGGTGGGGGGTGTGTCACCACCTACCTGTGGACAAACAGGCCAGGTGCTCAGGTGGGGAACTCCTGGCTGCTGCCGAAGCTCAGACAGTCTGTCCCAGTGGCCACGGGTGAGGCCACCACCTTTGTACTCAGTGTCCACACAGTTCTCCTGGACTTGAACTCTACTGTATTGTACCTGTTTTCAGAGAAACAGAGCTGTATAGGACCATTTGCTGCCATGCCAGTCAGGGGCGCCTGCCATGTTCTGTGAACCCTGAGAGCAGTGCCACCCACCCCATACCTCTGCCGCCGAGCAGGACGCAGCTGACATGGGCTCCGTGTGGATGTGGCGAAGGGGCTGCCAGGCCGGCCACGCCATTACTCCGGGGCCATGTCTGAGCTGTGGTGAGGCCGTGGGACCCTTTTTAATAAATAGAGAATTGTTACTAACAGTCCTGTCACTTATTTACCTGTGTGTGATGTTTGGTTCTAGAACATCAGTGAAGCTGACTGGTGTGTCGCTGAAGTTAAAAATGAAAGCCACCGAGACGGCGGCCACAGCCGCCTCGTCCAGGGCCCTGGCCCTGAGGCAGAGCCCTTGTCCTGTTTTGAATCAGGAATTCTCACAGCCATCAGCGAAGGGCAGAGAGAAGCAGGGTCCTCGCCGGTCTCAGTGGACGCGGCCCCGGCTGCTGCCCACCTGATGGAAACAAAAACATTCCTGCTTGTTTCAAATGACAGAAGTCAGTGGCTGACATTCTGCTCTGGGGATCTCCCCCCGCCCCCGCCAAAGGCTGAGCCATGCCTGGGACCCTCACTGCCCGCTGTCCCTGTCTGCGGACGAGCCTGATGCCCTGGGAGGGACTCTCAGTGGGTGGGTACAAGGAGCCCCACAGCAGCCTGAGCAAGCTCGCCCCCCGCCGGCTCCTAAACAGACACCATTCCCCGTGTGGCACTGTGCGCTGGGGTTTTCCTGAGAAAGCAATTCCTTTTTTAAAAAGAATTTGTATCTAATAGTTTCTCTTTCCCAGTGGCTCCAAGCTTACAGACAGAATCCAGTCCACCCCACTGCAGGCGCTGGCCCGGGCATGGGTGTGGCTCCTCACCCAGCCTTGTCTGGTCCTCTCCTGCCCGCTGGGCCCCTTGGCTCACGAGAAGGGGGCGGGGGGTGGCAGGCGGGACAGTACCTGACCCAAGGCTTCTCATTCGGGGTCTCCAGTTCAAGTGTAGTCGACTTGCACCGATGTTCACTGGGGTGCACTGGGTGAGAGAACAATCCGCTTTAGTCTTCTCAAGCTGTGTCCCTTATGAATAAGAACAGGCATTGGCCGTGAAAAAGAAAAAAATCTTACCTTTTGCAACAGCGTGGATGGGCCTGGAGAGTATTATGCTAAGTGACATAAGCCAGTCAGAGAAAGACAAGCACCATGTGATGTCACTCATATGTGGAATCTAATGACCAAAATGAACTAACAAAGAAACACTCATAGATACAGAGAACAGACTGACAGCTGTCAGAGGGGCAGGGAGTTTGGGGGCTGGGTGATAAAGGTGAAGGGATTAGGCAAGAAGAAGAAAAAACACCTCATAGATACAGACAACAATATGGTGATTACAGATGAAAGGTGGGGGGAGGAGATAGAAGGGGTAAAGGGGGATGGTGATGGGAGGAAACTCGACTTGGGGTGGTGAACACAACACAATATACAAATGGTGTATTATACAGTTATACACTGAAACCTATACAATTTCATTAGCCAATCACTCCAATAAGTTCAATGAAGATACAGTACTGATCAGGTAGGTGCTTGTCAAGATACCTAGGCACATTAAAAACAACCACAAAAGACCGCCTTCATGGACTCCAGTTCTTGCAAAGTAAACGGACAACAATCATGTAAATGAACAAATCAGTAATATGCTTCCTAGAGAGTAGTGCTATGAATACAACATGACAACAGGACAGAGCAATTCTTCCATTAAAGTAACTTTTTCATTCATCCATTTGAAAACACGTTTGTCTGTTACTGCTCGTCTTGCTAACATCTCCTGAGGGTGCCATGTGTGCCAGGCAGCCATAAGCAGTTACACGCATTATCTTCCAAGCCCTCAGCACTCCCACCCGTGGGTGCTGTGAGTCTGCATCTTATACAGGAAGACAGACTCCCCGTCTCCATTCCGGACACGAGGCTGGAGGAGGCACAACGGGGATTCACACGAATCCACAGCTGTCCAGTGAGGCAGCCGTACGTACACCCTCAGAAATGTCCCCTCACCAGGGTACCCTCCCCTCCTTGCCAGACAAGCTCCGTGAGATGGAGGTCTTTCTTTGTTGCTGTATCTCCAGTACCTGGCATGCTGTTTGGCACAGCAAGGTGCTCAGTAAATTTTTTTTTGCCAAAGCAAAACAACCATACAAAAGCACAGGCAGGGGCCCCTCCCTGTTTACAGAGACCAGTTTCCAAAGCAGTGACCCACCTGGACCTCAGTCACCCTGGGGACAGGAGTGGACGCATGTCTGAGGACACGGTGGGAGTTCTGCCAGCTGGGCAGGAGCCACCTTGACCTTTCCTCCACCCCCTCCCCCGACCGGCACTGTCCTTTTGTTCCAGATGCTTGATCTGAGGCCAAGGCAGGCAGCCAGGAGCCTTCCCTCTCCCCAGTGCCCGCCTGGGAACCAGCTGTGTGCTGGGGGGAGGGGATCAAGAGCCACGGGGGCTGGGGACCTGCCTTGGATGTGGCCTGGGGGCCGTGGAGAAAAGCCCTAAACCACCACTCACCACACAGGCGTCCGGGCCTCCACTCGTAAACTTCCCGGAGAAACCACCTCAGTGACACCTGGCAGAAGCAGCAGCACCAGCCAGGGTTGCTGTGGTTGCAATGCCGCTGTCACCTGCAGAAACTAAGCGAGTCCCAACCCAGCTCCTGGCCCCCGAGAAATAAACAGCCCGGGCGCAGCCCCTCACTGGGGCAACAGTGACCACAGTCAAAGTGCATTTTATTGCCAATTGGACCCCAATCCAAGGAAACACTGAACTCTAAGCCCAGAACTGGATCCTTGTGCTCATCCCGACACAGTGGGTACTGGACGCAGGGGGTGGTCCTCGCAGGGCCGGTCCCCTCCCCCCAGCCAGGGCCCCACCCCACCCAACCACTCCCCAAGGGCGTCTCAGCAATGCAGTTCTTCCGAGTCCTCCTTCAGCGGGCAGGGAGGCCACGCTGGGCTTCAGCACCGGGCGGAGTGGGGCTGCCCTCTTCTGTGGAGCACGAGGCTCCCTTGGTCCGGAGGATGGCGGCAGGGCTATGGTTCTGGGCTTTCTGGCTGAGCTGGAAACCTCATGGCCCGGGAGGTGGAGGTGGGCAGTGGGCAGAGCCCAGAGCTGGGCCTCCAGGGCAGGGGCAGCCAGAGAGGAATGAAAAACAGGAAGTGGGCGGCCACCGGATTTCAGCGGGAACAGACTCCAGGAGCGAGGGCAGCACCTGTGCCCAGCAGGCATGGGGCTGTCAGCCCTGCCTGGCCCACGGCAGAACCCGGCCCGCCTCTCCCCCCAGACCACGTCCTCCTCAGCACCCCCATCACTGGTGCCCGAGAGCGAGGCCTGAGGAGAAAGGGCACTGTCCCAGTCCTGCTTTGCCTAAGTCCCATCTCCATGGAATCAGTGTCCCAGAGACCAAAACCCAGGGAGACTCACGCAGTCCCGACAGCCAGCACTGTGTTCTGCTCACCTCTCACCTCAGAACTCGAGTCCAAAAGGCAGGGGAGGCCCTGCCCACCCCACCCCCATGGCCCTGCTCCCAGCGCGCCGAATACAAACTCACAAGGAAAAGCTCTAGCTGGGAACATACAAATGTCTGTGTATTTCCTGAACCGTGGCTCCAGCCTGCTGAGCCTGGATGCTCTTGGTCCCGTGGCAGGTAGGTAACTCACATCCAGGAGAACTGCCCTGTCAGCCCCGCTCGGCCCAGATCCAGGGGCTCAGCAAGGGCTGGGGCCTCTCGGACACTGACCCAGGCCGTGGGCAGGCCCGGCCACCTGGTGTGCGTGCCGCGCCCCTCAGTGCCTCCTTAGCCGAGTCACGGTAGCCACGTGAGGCCCAGGCCGCCTGTCAGGCTCCCGCTGGACCCCTCGGAGCCTAGGAGTTCATGAGTTGAGCAGGGCAGACGCCATCCTTTTTGTCCAGCTGCAGGGGTCAAAGGGGAGGTGCTCACTTGACATTGCAAGGGGTGCATAACCAGCCAGGCCCCCTGCATCCTTGTCTCCTCAGCCCCCTGCATCTTCCTCTGGAGTGAGCCGAGCTCCCCATGTTGCTGGGTCAGCATTTGCTCCTGCTGGTCAGGGTTTTCTGACCTTCCCAAGGCCCCGTGTCCCGCAGACCTGGGAGCAAGAGGCTGGCAGCACCTCCAGGGCCCCTCCCCATCCCAACACTGGTGCCTGGCACCTGGTGGTCCTACCTGGTGGTCCTGCCTGGGGGCCACACTGGGCTTCTGGGCCAGGGGTGGCTTCCTGGAGGTCCCGCTGTGGGGGGCACTGCTGGGCTGGCCAGGCTCCTCCTCTCCAGGCGTCCCCACCCCCACAGCCAGTGCATAGTGTTGCTTCCGAAGCTCTCCCAGCCGCACACGCTCCGCCTCCAGCGTCTTCTCCAGCTCCAGGACCCGAACCTGCCGGCGAGCACCACTCAGCAGAGCCCTCTGGGAGCTCGGCCCCAGGGGAGGGACAGGCCTAGAGGCTGCCCAAGCACCTACCTGGGTCTCCATCTCCTGCTTCTTCAGCTTGATGAGGGACATGCCAGAGAAGTCCATGGTGTCTGTGACCAGAGACGGGGTAAGTGTCTGGGTCCCCGCCCGCCCCCCCAACGCCACTCCCAGGCCCCCAGCTGTCACCTCGCTCTTCGATCTGCTCTTGGCCTGACTTAGTGGAGGCCACCACGTTGGCGGCCATCACGTTGACGGTGCGGGAGCACTCCTGCAGGCGGCTCAGGTGGCGGCTGTCCTTGTTGGCCTTCACCTGGGGAGCGTGGGGGTGGGTCAGGATGCAGGGTGGCCCCCATGGGACCACCCCATCCCGAGGTCTCCCGGCCACATGCGGTGCATCCATCCCAGCCAGGAGGTGGGGAACCTGAGCAGAGGCCGGGCCGGGCACGGAGCCTCACCTTGGAGGCTGCCACCAGCTGGGCCGTGCTGGCCGCAATCTCGTGGGAGCAGACGATGAGCTCTTCGTACTTGCCCGTGTGAAGCACCACCTTGTCAGCCGACTCCCTGGGGGCAGAGCGGGCGGGGCCTGGGTCTCCAACCCCTGGAGATCAGGGCCACCCCACACTCCCTCCTCAGACCCTGGGCACCACACTCCCTGCTGCCCCCCACCTGGGGCAACATACACCAGCTGCGTGGCTCCCCAGCCGACGGCCTTGGAGGCGGAGATGAGGCCTTCAGTCCACCTTGAGTTCTTGGCG